CCAAGGCATTAATTAGTATTCATCTGTTTACTGATAACTTCCAGATCTCTATTTCTGACTCCAATCACTTGCTTCAGTTCCAAACCATTATACCCAGTGTGTATCCTGGAAGCATCCCAGGGGAATATTCATTCAACGTGTTGAAAACCAAGCTTATTTTCCTAATAATCTGCCTACTTCTTACATGTACTAATTAAACAAACAACAACAAAAACTTAAAAAAAACAAAACTTTCCTTTAGACATTCTCTCACCTTCTCTTCCCCTTGACTCTGACTATATAAATTATGCATCCTCTCCAATTTTAATCCAAATCCTCCATATGCCTATCCAATGAAGGCAGTCTATATTTTTTTAGCAAAGTCTACCTTTAGCACTTTCATGACATTTCTGTGTTATTATCCCATTCTAAAATACATCCTCACCTTTCCAATTACATTTTTTTGTTTAAATTTTATTTAAATTATTGTTCAAGTACAATTTTCTATCTTTTACTCCCATCCCAGCCCGCCCACCCAGCCCTCCCCACCTCCCTCCTATTTCCACCCACCCCTAGTTTTTGTCCATGTGTCCTTTATACTTGCCAATTACATTTCTAACTTAGGTTAAAAACATTTCATTTGAAATGAATGTCTCAGCTTCCTCCTCCTTTAAATTTCTGTCTTCCTCCATTCTTTTTTTCCCTCCAAAACTAACTCTTCATTTGCATCCTTGATACTATTCCCCTTCTCTCATCTGCAGAGACCTGATTTATGAGAATAGGAGTCTTTATCTGTTTCATCCCCAACTTCTGGAACAGTGAGAGCCTAGCACATTGTAGATATTAAAAAATATGCACTGAATATTTTATTCAGGAATTACTCTTTCTTTCTCTTGCTTTTTTAGTTTCTCCCCTCTCCTTCTACATTGAATTCTTCTGCAAGTCTAAAATATGCTTAAATCTTTTTTTCAAGGGAGAAAAAACAAATAAAAAGATATCCATACAAACTTTTTCTTGACCCTATCTTTCCCAGTTGTTGGCTATGTCTTTCTGCCTACTACCCAAAGTTCTTTCAAGTTACATTTGCACCACTTTGCATTTGCAAAGTAACTTCATTACTTTGAAATGTGGTTTTCCCCTAAAAGTGCATTCTCAAAATCACTACTGATTTCCTAGAACTTTTTTCATCCCTCATGCTCTTTGTTGATCCTATATTATTTTACACAAAGGAACTCCCACTGCTTCTTAGAACTCTTCTCCAGGATATCTTCCATGGTTTCCTTAAAAACAAATTATATGTACCTTTATTTTCTGTAGGTGGTCACCTCACTTATGCTGTTTACAAATGTGTGTTTATTTGTCAGCATCCTGGACTAGACTAAAAATGTCTTCAAAACAAGCGTTATGTCTTCTTAATAAAAATATCCCACTGTTTGACACTATGAATGCTCAATAAATATTTGTTGAGTAATGAAATGAATATTGTCATTACATCAACACCCAGGAATTCTACAAACATTGTAGAATGGTAATGTTGGTTAAAATAAATAATACAGATAACTTTCTAAGAGAAAAGGACATATAAAAGTAGTATGAGGGGCTATGGACAATCAGAAAGCGGCCTAAATATATGAATGAATTATTTCACATACTTATTCATTCACTTGGTATTTACTGTGAGCAAGGGAATTTGGGGAGAAATTGAAAGATACTCCAGATATTATACCTAGCCTCATGGATGTGTGTGTGTGTGTGTGTGTGTGTGTGTGTATTTTTAAAGGATTCTTTTTTATTTATTTATTTTTAGAGAGAGAGGAAGTGAGAAAGGGAGGGAGAGAAATATCGATGTGAGAGAGAAACATCGATTGGCTGCTCCTCCTAAGCAACTCGACCAAGGACTGAACCTGCAACCCAGCCATGTGCCCTGACCAGGAATCAAGCCAGCAGCCTTTCACTTTGCGGAACAATGCCCATCCAACTAAGCCACTGTTCAGGGCCTCATGGATGCATCTTACAATCAAGGGCTGAGAATCTAGGAGTGATTAGACTGGTAGAAAGTAGGAAGGAGTAAGATACTTTGCCTTATTAAAGAGTAATTCTGAATCTAATATTAAAATATCAGGACAAGTTTAGATGACCATAAATTAGCTTCCTCTAATCTGCTCACCTTTGCAATCTAGGTCTACCAGCAGCAGTTCTCAAACTTTAGTGTACATAAGGAACACCTGGGGATCTTTTTTAAAACATATTTTATTGATTATGCTATTACAGTTGTCCCATTTCCCCCCTTCACTCCCCTCCACCCTGCACACCCCCTCCCACCCACATTCCCTCCCTTTAGTTCATGTCCATGTATCATACTTACAAGTTCTTTAGCTTCTACATTTCCCATACTATTCCTACCCTCCCCCTGCCTATTTTCTACCTACCTTCTCTACTACTTATTCTCTGTACCTTTTCCCCCTCTCTCCCCCCATCCCACTCCCCTGTTGATAACCCTCCATGTGTTGGGGATCTCTTTAAAGATGGAAAAAAGTCTCCCAGGAATCCTGATTCTATGGGTCCAGGAATGTGCATCTTTAATAAGCATCCCACAGGATTATGATGCATTTGGTCTGCAGAGTATACTACTGTAAAGTCCTTAGTCACTCATGTCATAATTTTGCCATATCTGAGTTACACCTATATCTTAGCCTTATCCTACTTAAGAAGTTTGTTGGCTTATATTTTTATAGCACACATGATATAAACACATAACTATTAAAAAGTTGCCCTGGCTGGTGTGCCTCAGTGGACTGAGCTCCGGCTTGCAAAGCAAAAGGTTGCTGGTTTGGTTCCCAGTCAGGGCACACGCCTGGGTTGCAGCCCAGGTCCCCAGCTAGGGGTGTGTGAGAGGCAAAGAATTGATGTTTCTCTCACATCTCAGTGTTTCTCTCCCTCTTTTTCTCCCTCCCTTCCCTTCTCTCAAAACAACACACACACACACACATACACACACACACACACACAACAAATAAATAAAATCTTTTAAAAAGTTTATCTGTATACATCAGTGGATGCGAAACAGTTTGAGAAACACTGCTCAAGAGTTTAGGCTCTGTAAACACCACATCCTGCAAGCAGTCTGATGACACAAATTATAACAAAGTTCCAGGACAGTGAAATTCAACAGAATAGTGCTTCAGAATAGTTCATGTACACACCCTGGTATGTACTTTTATGGATTATAATGACTTATTATAAAAATTCCTCCTTATATTGACTTTAAAAAATACTTTGTCTCTTACTCTGGTACTTAATTCTCAGAATGTTCTTGAGCAGACACCTAAACCAACTCCTAACAGTTAAGGCATCAAACTTAAAAGCAGCTGTTGGAACAAAATGAAGATAGATTTGTGCTCCCGACGCACAGTAAAAAATATATATCCATTTTATTTAAACTTACATTTGATTAAGACTGATAATTGAGTTCACAAATATAAACTTGATAGCTCTCTTCCTTTTCCTTCAACACTACTTTATAATTATAGGTAAAATAATATGGCAAAAAGATCAGAGGAATAATTGCATCTCAGAAAAGTCTATTCCTTAAAGGTTTGGCAACTTGCAACCACAACCAGAAACGAAAGTTGAAATAGAAAACCATAACCAAATTAAAGATTGTGTTGATATTAAGCCTTTAAAAACAATATTCTGCTCTAAATTATGTACTGGCTTAAATGGCTAAGAAAATCAATCTTTACCTAAATAACTAGTGGATGTTTTTCAGGTACCACATTCTCACTGTGTCAAAAGCCAGTTCCATATATTTAATCTCTAGTCACACGGAACAAAAACAGATGAATGACTGTGGTCCTTGACCTCTACATCACTTAAGTCAAATGGAAATTTACTTTACTACTTACTGATTTATAAAGCACTTTATCCTGTTTGGATAAAAGGATTATTGCAATAGCCTCTGAACTAGCCTGCCTACTTCCACCCTTGTTCACTACAGTCTATTTTCCACACAGCAGCCAGAGAAACCCTGTTAATATGTCAGATCAGTCACTAGTCTGCTCAAAACCGCCTCTCCCTATCTTAAAGGCAACGTCTTTTAAAGGGCCTACACAGGCCTCCCTGTACACAATCACCTTGTCCTTAAGCTCAGCTCATACTACTCTACCTTTGCTCACTCCGCGCCAGCTACAATAGCTTCTTTGCTGTTTCTTGAGTACACCAAGCCAATTCCAGACCTAGAGCCTTTGTATTTGCTGTTCCTTTTGCTCAGGCTGCTCTTCCCAAAGGCAGCCAGGTGGTTCTGCTCTATCACTTCCTTTGGGTCTTTGCTCAAGCATCAAGTTCCAGGTGAACTCTTACACAAATTGCCACCTCCCCACCCTCATACATATTTCCTAACTACATTCCCTGCTTTATTTTTCTCCATAGCACTTACCATTGGCATTCTACACCTTTTATTTGTTTAGCAGTTGTTTACCCCACAAGAGTGTGAACTCCTGCTGGGTGATGATTGTGTTTTTGCTTTGTTCACTGTTATATCCCAGGGCGAAGACCAGCGCCTAGCACACAGTAGATGTTCAATAAATATTTGCTTAATGAACAAACGGTATTACATCAATTTGCGGGTTTTCATCCTTAACCCTATTAACAGCTAGAAATGAAAGCTGGAGGATATCCCCCAAATTTCCAGACGGCACTTGGGGTCTGTCAACTTACATGCATTATCTTTTGTCTGGTACATCGTTCCTCTGATTTTTCTTAGATAGTAAGGCAGCAGGAAAAGGCCTAACGTGGGCAAGGAAGAAACAAACCAATCATGTATAAAACTGATTTTGGGTGGCTTGATTCTTCTCCATAAGCCAACAGAGAAAATGCCTTTTGAATTTTCATAGTTTCTCCTCTTAAACCTGAGGGAAATAAGCTGTAATGTTTGTCTTCTGGGGGCGGGTTGGGGGGTTGCTGGAAGAGACGCGAAGGTGCACCTTCTTCAAGAACGTCAACTCTTGTGCGGTCCAACTTACTTTTTGGGGGGGTGGGCATCGTTCGTGGTCTCTGCTAGCGGGTGTTTCTTTCTCGCCCTCTGATGTACCTATTGTGCTGTGTCTTGCGAATGAGATAAGGTGGAAGAGGAGCGGGGGACGAAGGGATGCTGAGCGCGGCTTCAACTGCCTCCTACCACAAAGTCGGGGAGGCGAGGGCTCCGCGCGGGTGTCTAGGGGGCGAGCGGGCGCCGGAGCCACGCGCCTCCGACCGCAGCCTCGGCCCCGGGTCTCAGGCGGGATGCGGGCTGCACGGAGTTAGGCCCGGACAGAGGCCGGTGGCCTCCGAGCGGCCGGGCACGCGGCCCCCGCGCACCCCGCTCTCCCGACCCCCTCAATCCGGCGCCCGTCTCGGTTACCTCGAACTCTCTTCAGCGAAATGGGATCCTTCTCCTGTTCCGCTGACATTACAAACCGCAAAGCATGACTCCCCCCCAGGCCGCGGGAATTCGGTCTCTTTGATGCGGCGGCAGCGGCGGCTCCTCCTCCTCCTCGCGGGGCCGCTGCGGCTGCGAGGCAAGCCTCGGAGCCGAGGCGCGGCCGAAGGCGGCGTGGACGCGGGCCGACTTTGCAAAGTTTGGGAGGAGGACGAGGCCTCCGGGCGGCCGGGCAGCGTGCGGGGGCTGGCCGAGCTCAGCGGCGGTAGGAGGGAGCGAGGCCTGGGGGTGGCCCCCCGCCCGGGGCCGGCATGTGCGGAGGACTAGTGCGCCGCCGTCTCCTCCCACTCCTTCTTCGTCGCCGCCGCCGCCTGAGGAGCCGCTGACAGGGGAGGCAGGAGCGGGCGGCCCGGCCCTGGCGGCGCACTCACAGCGCCCTCTGAGGAGGAGGTCTGCGCTCTCACCGCTCCCGAGTCACAGACACAAAAGCCCCCAGCGTGGAGCCGCCTGCGAAACCCGCTCTAGGGCGGGCGACAGACGTGGCGCAGCCTGGCGGCTTCCCCTCCCTGGGCTCCCCAGCGCCTCGCGGGGACGGACTTCTTGGGGCGGGGGCCGCTGCCTGGTCCCACCGCGCCTCCAGCCGCCGCCGCCACCAACGCCTCGCGCTCCGCCTCAGCCCAGCCCCCACGGCCCGCGCGCGCCTCTCGCTCCGCGCCGGGGCTCGCGGGCCCGCGGCCCTCCTAGCCGGGGCGAGCAGCGCGCGCCGAGGGGCCGTCCCGCCCCGCCCCGCCCCGGCGGCTTCAGCGAGGCCGTGGCATCTCCGAACTTCGTCGGAGGCCACGACTGGCATCACGGCCTCGCAGCAAGGGATCTGAAAGAGGTACACACGATCAGAGAAAACTTTCTAAGTGGGAGCTGTAGAGTTCTCGGCGGGCTTGTGGACACCCACATTCCTTGACTCCGTGTCCGGGTCTGGACACCTGTTTGTGGAATGCCCCAACTTCAAGTTTTAACAACTGGACCGGAAGAAAGAGCGATGCAGAATTAATACAAGAAGGGAGACTGGGTAGAAGCTATGAGAAGGCTTGACTTGCTTTTAGACGTTAAATTTTGAGAGAAGGACCACCAATGTGCTTGTAGATTGGATTTGGTCACTGGTTACACATCAGTTGAGCTGTGTGACCTAAGGCAACGTACATAACCTCTCTGAGTCTCAGATTTCTCATCTTTGAAAGACAGTGGAATTACATCTCTGAGGTCTCTTCTAACTCTGACATTCTTCAGCTTACTCTTAGGAAACTGTTCTCCCCATTTGTCATTAGATTTTTCAGTTATCCTACTAAAGAGAATCTGTAGGTGCAGACTCAGATCTTCAACCAGGAGAGACTCTGGGTTTTTGATGTCAGAGTCACTAAAAAACACTCATTATTCATATGAGGACTTAGAACTAATCACAAACAGGAGTTGCATCCTTCTGGGGACAAGACCCATATAACTCAATTAACTGCACAAACAGATGTAAACTTGAAATGTATAGAGTCTTAACAGATACATAACAGATAAGCACCACAGCAGCAGCAGAATCAGCTTTACAAGACAGGATATGGCATGGCCAGGGTACAAATGTTACCCTTTTTCTAATAAGTTTTTTTGGGGAAATTCCTGATTAGAAGATTCAGACTAGGATAGGCTAGGAAAAGTTTTCATACAGGGCACATCTAGGAGAAGGCTCCCACAACTAGAATAAAAGCTCAATATAGGCATTTTATCCAGTTCACTACTATATCCTTTGGTACCTAATAATGACTGGCAAGTGTTCAAAAAAATTTTGTTGAAGAGATGCATGAATAAACAGGCTGGAAGTGGCACTGAACAGACTAGATGGACAGGGTTTGGTAAATGTGATAAAGCTCTAGCAAATCCTAAGAATGATAAAGCAAATTGGTTTTTATACTTTATCTCACAGGATTGTTGAGAGATGAGAAAGCACTTTGAAAATATCAAGCAATATGGAAACACAGAGTTTTTATTATATAATCCTTACTGCAAGGGGAGTGGTTGAGAAAAATCATTGCTAAGAGATTTTGAATTCTTTATTGTAATTCCCTAAAACTAGAGACTCAGATATAATATGTAAATCAAGGGAAATGAATTGGCCTCTTTTTAATGATTCATCAAGAATAAAAAGACCATCTTACTTGGCCATGGATTTTTAGATCAATTTGTCTTCCAAATTCTGATGACTCACTTGCTACATATCAGAACTACCAAGAGAGCATTCTAAATTTCAGATCCAAGCTCCTCCCCAGGTTTACTGAATCAGAATCTCTGGGAATGAGGTCTGAAATCTGTCTTTACACTTTTGTGGTGATTCTACAGCAATGATCATTGTGCCCTGGACTCCTTATGTTCCCAGTGTGACAGAATTCCTAACAAAATATACCTTCATCTTGCTGTTGTAGTCTTTATCTATGGAACTTGTTTATGGATTTTAGAGGTAATCTAAATCTTTAATCCCCCTCTCATACAGAGAGATGCAGCTAAATCTATTGTTGTCAGGCCTACCCTACTATTCAAAATACATGCTCAGCCCTGACTGGTGTGGTTCAGTTGGTTGGGAGTCATCCTGGAAAGTGAAAGTTCATGGGTTCAATTCCTGGGCAGGGCAAATGCTTGAGTTACAGGTTTGGTCACTGGTTGGGGTGTGTATCAGAGGCAACCCATTAATGTTTCTCCCCCTCCCTTTCTTCCTCCCTTCCCTTCTCTCTAAAAATAAATAAGTAAAATTTTTTTTAAAAGTTTTTTTTTAAATAAATAAAAATACATGTTCAGTCCTACCTAAAACTCAATAATAGGCACAACTTAGACTAGAACAAGGCTCAGTAAACTTATTCTATGGAGGGCCAGATAATATTGCAGGTTTCGCAGGCCATATGTTCTCTGTCACAGCTACTGAACTATACCACTACATTAGGAAAGCAACCATAGATAATATGTAAAGATAGATGGGTGTGGTGCATTCCAGTAAAACTTTATATATAAAAGCTGGCAGTGTACCGAATTTGGCCCACAGTCTGTATTCTGCTGACCCCTAAACTAGAACTTGAATCACACAAAGGACGTTGGAGCTCAGGGGACAGAACGAGGCTACAGACACAAATGAAGGAGACATTGCCTAAGAATGGCTAAACTCACCCAGAAACAATGAGAAATGAGAGCCAAGAACAGAATCCATGGAAATGCTGACATTTTAAACTGTGGACAGAGATAGAGGAATCTATCTGTAAAGGAAATAAAGAAGTCATGAAACTAAAAAAAAAGGAATGTCAGGGCAATCAAGAAAGGAGAGAAATGATCAACATTGTCACATGCTGCAGAAAGAAGTACTCATTTCTATCTTTAGACATCCTTGGCCTGGAATCTACTTAACCTCCTTGTTTTCTTATATTTTAAAGTAATTTACAGCCTTTGCCTTTAGTATTTTACATCTCAAGTTTTATGTGTTTATATTGTGGGAAGTAGCATAGTGGAGCATTTAAACATAAAGCCTCTAATATAAGTTGGTTTAGATTAACATGAAAACTTTTTTCAGAAAAAAAATATTGCTCTAAGTTTTATTTTCAAACATTGAAAATTATAGATTTGTTTTAAATTGAATAAAAGTAAAAATGAGACCCAATTCTAGGTGTTTGGAAGTTCTGTAATATTGGTTTGAATTCTTTTGCGAAATAATTGAAACTGTGGTCATCTCAGTAACCTCTATATGTTGGTCAGCCACATCCAGCATCCCCTTGTTGACAAATATAGGGAATCACAACAGCAAACTTTGGAAGATGTTTGTATAGGCTAGGATTCAATCCAGACACAAAAATCACACAATTTAAACAGGGTATATTTAATACAAAGAATTACTATCTTATTTACTTATTTTTAAAATTATATTGTATTGATAATGCTATTACAGTTCTCCTAATTTGTCCCCCTTTGCACCCCACTATCCAGCACCCCCTATTCCCTTGGGCAATCCCCCCATCATTGTTCATGTCCCTGGGTCATGTATATAAGTTCTTAGGCTACTCCATTTCCTATACCGTTCTTCATATCTCCCTTTCTATTCTGTACCTACCAATTCTTGATCCCTTTCCCCCCATTCTCCCTTTCTGTCTCCCAACTGATAGTCTTCCAAATGATCTCCGTATCAATGATTCTGTTTCTGTTCTGCTTGTTTGCTTAGTTTGTTTTTTAGATTCAATTGTTGATAGCTGTGAGTTTATTGCCATTTTAATGTTCATAGTTTTGATCTTCTTTTTCTTATATAATTCTCTCTAGCATTTCATATAATAATTGCTTAGTGATTATGAATTCCTTTAGTTTTATCTTGTCTGGGAAGCACTTTATCTGCCCTTCAATTCCAAATGATAACTTTGCTGGATAGAGTAATCTAGGTTGTAAGTCCTTGCTTTTTTACTTTGAATACTTTTTGCCAGCCCCTTCTAGCCTGCGAAGTATTTTTTGAGAAATCAGCTGACAGTCTTATGGGTACTCCTTTACAGGTAACTCTCTGCCTTTCTGTTGCTGCTTTCAAGATTCCCTCTTTATTTTAACCTATAGCATTTTAATTATGATGTGTCTTGGAGGGGGCCTCTTTGCATCCATCTTTTTGGGACTCTCTGTGCTTCCTGGACTGCATGTCTGTTTTCTTCACCAAATCAGGGTAGTTTTCTTTCATTATGTTTTCAAATAGATTTCCAATTTCTTGATCTTTCTCTTCTCCTTCAGGTACCTTTACGATGCAAATGTTGTACCTCTTGAAGTTGTCCCAGAGGCTGCTTATACTGTCCTCATTTTGGGGGTTCTTTTTTCTTCTCGTTGTTCTGCATAGTTTGCTTTTTTTTTTTTTTTTCGCTTATGTCTCATATCGTTGATTTGATTCTCGCCTTCTACAACTCTACCATTGTTTCCTTATAAATTGTTCTTTATTTCAATTAGTGTATCCTTCATTTCTGACTGGATCTTTTTTGTGCTGTTGAGGTCCTAAGTTCCTTGAGCATCCTTATACCCAGTGTTTTTAACTCTGCATCTGATAGATTG